GCCATAAAGTCTTCCAGGATGTGACCTTGACCTTTCCGGATGTCAGGTGAGCGCCTAACATCGGCTCCCTACGGTGCCTAGGAACTGATGGATTTAGGCATATACTAACTAACCAACAGCTGGCAGCCCCACAACCTTAAAATATTCATGTTTTCCACAAATGCAATTTTCTTATAATACATTTTTTAAAATCCAAATTTTTTAATATTACCAGCTGTACTCGGAACGCGTTGCTGTAGTATATAGTTTGGCTAAAAAGAAAAGAAAGAAAAGAGAAATCGCACATGTATAATATGGTTAATGTCGCAATTATTGTCTGGGCAGATATAGAGATAGTCTTTGATGCCCCCCCCCCTTTCACCCCTAAATAACCATCCATATACTACTCTCTTCCTCATAGAAGTTTCTTGGAAAAGAAAGAAAATAGAAATCGCACGTGTCTAATATAGTTATTGTCGCAATCACTGTCTGCACAGATTTAGAGATAGTCTGGTTTGCCCACTTTAGAACACGCAACATATAACTGTGTCCTTATATTAGTGGTCGTTTTAAAGGTATTATTAAGACCGTAAAAAAGAAGTTATTTGGTTATCACATGCTAAAGCTGTTTGTATTTTTTTTTTATAGTCAGAAGTTAAGCTTACTACTGTACTTGTAAATAACCAAGTAAGTCGAAAAAAATGAGAATAAGGGAGGTAGCGTTAGTAAAATATAAACAAATTAAGAAATGAAAACGTAAAATCATGTGTTAAGCTCTATAAGTTAAAAATTTCTGTCATCACCCTCTCCCCTCCCCTATCCACCGTCTACTGCGCTCTCCCTCTTCGAAAGATTTGACAGTTATCACCTAACGATATTTTTTTTAACTGACATTGACATCCCTGTCCATCTGGACTAAAATGGGGAGCAGGAATTGTAATGAGTAGTAAATGCGGTCAGTGTATTATTTACCAAACCATCTTTCAAGTACCAGTACTACTACTACCCCCACCACCACAGTAACTAAAATAATGTCACTACTATCTGTTTTACCATCGGAGTGGACAGAGAGTCGTGAGCCAGAGGATTTGGCGCCGCATGGCTAGTGCTGTCGCCAAGGACTGGTCAGGTTAGGATGTGTAATTTCGCCCCCTCCCTCCCCCGACAGAAAAACGCCATCACCTTACTGGCGGTCTCCAACATGACAGCACTACGGTGTAACCGCCCAACCACAACTACTACTACTGCTGCTACTTTGAGTGGGTAAGGCAATTACTTTGTTTTAAAGCTCTCTCAATTTACATTTTATGTTACCCCCCCCCCCCCCCCCCCCCCTTTTTCACAATTCACCGACTATTCTTTCCCTCATCGAAGTAGTTAAAAGAAAAAACCCAAGTGAAAAGCAACGAAAACAGGAAAAATACACCATAATTTCAAAATAAACGCTATGGTAAGCAATACAAACTTAATTCCAACGCAATGTCAGACAAAATAATTAAATCAAAATGAAAATAAATAGAAATCTATGCAAATTCAGCGTAACCATGCAATCGGAAAGTTTGGTATGAAATCATAGTATGCGAAATGGTCAAATTATCAACTGGTTTACCCACATACCTAAAATTTTTTATTTTTTTTTTTAAGTATTTAGGGCAGCATGGTTAGTGTTGTAGCCACGATAAAAAGGTGAGGATTTTATTTTGCCCCCGGGTAAAAAAAATGGTGTACTAGGGATTGAACTCTTGTCTTCCGTACAGCATCCCAGCGTTCTAAACGTTCGGCCAACCAACCGCTCTCCCGTAAAGTGCAACGAAAAGACGAAAGAAAAAAAAAAAAACTATTTGAGATGTGCGTCCCGACTACTGTGTCCCGATTCTAACACAACTCAAAACCGCGGGCAATTGTTTTCTTATAGACAGATATCCCAAAAATAACTTTAAGTATTATTGAAATGGCACAAAAATAGAAATGGCACGTGTCTAACACGGTTTATGTCGCAATTATTGTCTGCGCAGACATAGAGATAGTCTTCGATGCCGCCCCCCCCCTCCTCAAATCCACCGTCTACTCTTTAACTCATCAATGGTTTTTTGTAAAGAAAGAAAATAGAAATCGCACGTGTCTAATATGGTTAATTTCGCAATCACTGCCTGCGCAGATATAGAGATCGTCTGGTTTGCTGTACGTATCTCGCCGGCGGATCTTGAAAGTCGTGCATCCCGACCACTGCTCATTCGCATTTACGAACGTGGCTTTAATTAAATGTCACTAAAATGAAAATATTTGTTTCGAAACTTTTCCCGACAAATGTCGTATTTCTAACCATGACAGGTAGGATCCCGGTATCAAAACAAACATATCCTGAAATTTTCAGCTAAATCGGTTTAGAAGTTTCCGAGTCTATATGTCACAAAGAAAGAAACAAACACACAAACATTGATTTATATATACATATATATATATATATATATATATATATATATATATATATATTGTTAAACATGTATTATCTTAGACTTTTATTTACTGTATTTTTTAAACTGAATCAAATTCAGTTTGACATGCGTAAATTTCCACATTTTATTAACTTACATATTTGAAAGATATTTTTTTTTGTGTGTGGATACACCGGTGCAATTTAAAGCGGTAGGAGCCTCAGGGCGTCATAAAGCCAAGGGCCTCGTCGAGTCTAAATCCCACCCTGACCCTAAAGTTCTTTTAAAATATGCACACAACCGAACGATCTGCCGGTGAAACAAACAGTCGACTTTTAAATCGCGAGGTAAAGAGTTAATGTTTGTCTCACCAATGATTACCCCCCCCCTCCCCCCCCCGCAGCCCTTTTCCCCAGATTTAAAGGTGCCGGTACTGACCAGACCTCAGATACACACACAGAGGAGGGTGCTAGATGGTGATGGTAAAATGTTAAGTAGGACATGGTGAGACCCAGTCCTGTGCGATAGATTTTCTCAGTAAGTCTTCAAAATGCCGCCCATGATATCTTCGCGCTGCCAGATTAAAAGTTCCAATTGTATTCTGATTTCGTTCCTTCTCCCCCTCTTCCTCTTTTTACCATCCCGCCAGATGCGGTCGCGTCTCTGTATCATAGCACTGCATGGCCCTGGTGGGAGCTGCAAGTAAAAGCAAATGATACGACGAGGGCTTGACTTGGGTGAGGGCCTATGCTCCATTGAGGTTAAGAACAGAAAAAGAAAAAAAAAAGAAAAAGAAAAAAGAAAAAACTCACCATAAAGTGTATAAAAAAGGGTGTAGGTACTCACCCCAAAATGTCTGTTAGGTAGACTGAAATAATGTTTTGCAAAAACTGAGGGATAATCCTGCATTCTCTTTTATTATTCCGTCTGCTTTGTCGGATGATCTCGGCATAATGCGTGTGATCCGATCCTATTTTTGGCAGTTGCATCGAAATTTCCATATTGACAATTCTTTAATTACAGTACTTTGTACTGTACTTTTGCAGTTACAATACTTTAAGTACGTTGAGGTTAACCTAAAAATGTAGCCCTAATGAATAATTATTGTTTGTTGTTGCATATATGACCTCTAAATAATCCGTGTAATCTATTCTTATTTTCGGCAGTCGCAAAACTTCCATACCGACAGTTCTTTATTACACAAAGTACTTTGAAGTTTCATGGAAAATTTCTCCTGAAATAATTCATTATTGTTTGTTGGTGCGTAGCACTAGGCTGCGATAATATCAACATTCTTTCTTGGGGTTAGGAATATTGCTGTTATTATCGTAAAATAAATGCCTTAGAAGAATACTAAATTTCAAATGGTCAGATTTCCGAACCAATACACAAATAATGCAAGAATCCAGGCAAGAGTATGTATCTAATTTTATACGAAAACGCCGCTCGAACTATGTCGGCCACGCCCTTAGAATGGATAAATCAAGACTTCCTTACCAAACCCTCATTTGGACACCACAGGGGAAAAGATCTCGTGGAAGACCAAGGGAAACCCTACGTAGAACTATCATCAGGGAAGGCTCGCTCATGGGCCACTCAAACATCCAAGACCTACAACAGATTGCAACGAACCGCTACGCATGGAGAGTCATGACCTCTGCCCTATGTGCCGCACTCGACACAAGAGGAAAGACTAACTAACTAACTAATTGTGTAACGTACCATCATCGCCTCTATTATCGTATTTCTCAGAAAAACAAAACATAGGGTCTAAAAACCTGTGTGCCTCTTATATAATGGTTGTAGATCTTTGTTTAGGATAAATTTGTGGCCAGTTTGGAATCAGGGCATGAAAGGTCAGCTGTAACAGACACTCTCTTTCTTGGGTGTATCGTTTCCTCTCCAACTGAGTTGAGCGCAACACTGTAAGCTGCAAATTTCATACTGAATGCTTTTCGTCTGTGCCGTATGTGGTTTGTGTTGTGAATTGCAGATTCAGAAAATGGCGTGTCGCCCCTTGCCAGAGAACTGGTGGTGCCTTATGCATGTGCAACCACTGATATGTTCTAACTGCTGCTTCTGTTGACGGCGAAATCAAACCAGTGAACTGTGACTTAAGCTTAAGGAAACAGTTAAGCAGAACAACGTGCACAAAACAAAACAAATCGACGTTTCGGCCGCAGCCTTTCTCAACATGAACTAACTACAACAATAAACAAAGGATTGTTTGTGTTGCCACTTCTAAGGGGTGGCTTGCGCATTTAATGCGCGTGTTTACTCTTGGCTTCGCTGACACTGCAGTCTGAATACATTTATTTTCCACAAGGAAAGTCATTGACATTCTGTGTGGTTTCCGTTGGCAGGGGAAAAAAACAGCTATGACGTGATCCTTTTGCTATGAACCTGAAACTGCGATAGTACCCGAGACTGTGAAATGGACAGACATGGTTAACAGCACCACATGGTAGGAGCATTTTTAGAAAAAGAATATATGTATATATTCAAACGTTATCTTTTCTAACTGCACCCAGCTTGCATAACAAACATCTCGCTGCTCACATCTCAACAAACAAACAAAGGTAATACCTGTGTTATCGCATCCATCGCTGACTATTTGCTGGTCATTCTTTCGGCCATTGTCCAAACTGACAGCCTTGCTGGGGACATGGCCAAGCAGGCTGTCTATGTCGTATCCGGTCCGTTTGTGTACGCTCAAATCCATGAGGCGCTAAGTCACTTTTCGATGACCGCAGGCAAAGACAACTCTTAGTTAAAAATAGAAGTAGTTAAGAATTATAGTTCTTGAATTCTCCAGTGTTGATGATTCTTAAAACTGACAACCGTAGGCAATAACGTAATCCTTTCTTTCCTATCTGAAAACGTACAGCCTCTTACAATCAGAATACTAACAATGCAAATGATTAACTGTTTTGCAATGGTCCATTAAAGAACTTTTTGACGCTTAAACTTCAATTTACTGCTAAATTACTTCCAGAATCATTCAAAAGCGCTGTCACAAATTGGTAAGAAACTGTTTAAATAGTAGCTCTGTCCGCACACAGATTGATTTCATTAATTACCTCATTCGCGGTAACACTCCTGCTCATTTTCTGGGCTGGTGATTCCATTTCTTGCCCTGATGCTGCACCTCCTCTTCCCTTATGTTTCGCACTGCTTGAACAAGAGGGCAGACGAAGCTAACAACCACATTAAGCCAGTTTCAGACGGCCGGATCATACATACAAAAGCGGCCATGTTGACTTTAGATTTCGCTCACAAACGGTTTTCCTTTCACGGTTAGTTCTCGAATAACTGATTTCTCACGATCTTCAAACCGAGGGGAGGAGCCAAGAATGACAGGTCGATGTTTGGGAGCTACAGACCAATGGCAAGCCTCGCTCTCAGGAGCTCGACTGGGGAATGCCGGCCCACCGATTAGCGAAAATGTGGTCTCTTGTGAGAACGCTGTCATCGCAGACTTGGAATGTGTGTCCGTTGACTGAGAAATATTCCATAACAAGAACACATTGTCAACAGTTCTTATTCCCTTGCATTAACCAGTAAAGGGGCGGTTGATAACGACGTGTTTGTGGTTTCCGACAAGGCTGCGATTATTTGCCATTCTGGCCAATCCATCCAATTCCAGCAAGCGCTTAATGAGTCGCCTTCTACGACATGCTTGATAAAGGACGGTGGTTTTATTCTCTCCCTCCTACAATAGGCCCCTGGAACCGACAAGGAGATAGACTATCATTCTTCTTCTTTTTTTTTTTTTCTTTTTAAAAGAAACTTAAAGATGAAGGTTCATGTTGTGCTCGCTTTTCCGTGGAGTTATATACGGCAGCAGTGGAAACCAATCTGAGAATAAATCTTTCTTTAACTATCCTGGGCGTAGCCGGGCAATGAAATCTAGTGGGATAAATAAAACGCAGGACACTGTAGTCGATCCTCTCGAGTTTAACTAAAACTTTAAAGAGGTCATACACGACGGTATCTCAGATGCTGCGACACGTGACAACCAGTTTGAGGTTTGAGGTTTGAACAACGTATCAACATCATGGCACGCGGGTAGTAATCCATGAGTGCTCCGTTCTTCTTTTAACTTAAGTCTGAGTCTGAAGAAGCTCAGCACAGGGCACAGGCTCTGCAGCACCGGCGAGGATCCTGAAATTCTTTGGGTAGATTTTTAACTCCAAATTTTGCCCGGGCAGCGTCGTTGGGCTACTCTTTTCGATTTCCAACTGCCAAGGGATTTTTTTACGTGCGCAACAATGCACACGGGCGTCCAATCTCACTACCCAGAGACCAGGCGGACAGCCAGTAAGCAGACGTAACGTCGTTATGAAACGAATCCCGAAAAAAAAAAGTTTTGAGGCGGTTAAGTAAGAAGTAGACAGCGATACGAGCAGAAGAATATTATCAAAGGACCGAGAGACGGAGAGTATTGTACATTCTTTGTAGCCAGACTTCACTGCTGAGACGGCACTTGATTGATTGACCCGGCATATGAGAGAAAGTTAACGGACAACATCAAATTCGAAGACAATACATGCTTGTTTGCTGAAACAGGAATAAGTAAAAAGTAAAGATCCATTTTCACGCCTTAGGCGCATCGGGCATATGGGAAAAGCACCCATTTTTTACAGACCAATTGATACTAGGTGGGCAATGTGGTCAGCATTACGCCGGCCATCTCTACTTCCCAGTATGTTGAAATTACAAGTCGGACTCGCAACGCCTAAGCCACGGACACTGCACTGAAACAGGAGGGTTTGCAAAAATTAGTAAATCAATTATAAGTGTTAGAATTTAAGAGGTTCTTATTCTTCTGAAGCTTTCCTAGCTCTTGAAGTTCGTTGCTGCACACAGCACTCGCCTCCCTTCGTCTCTCTGGTTGGCTTTTGTCTTTTTATTTGTAAATAGATCTGTCTGGATATTATCTCCCCATCGTCTTCTTAGTCTGCTTCATGGTCTCAGACCATTCAACTGCATTGTGTACAGAGTTTTTACTTCTCTGTCATCTGACATTCTCTCATTATGCCCCAGCTATTTCAGTCAGTGAACCCTCGTGATGCCAGTTATCAACTAATTTAAACAGGTTGTTTTGATCTTCTTCTTTCGTTCGCCTGCACTAAGTTGTATCAGCAGTTTTATCTCTCGAATACATTTCATTGTCGTTGTTAGTTCATTCAGTGGTCCATAGAGTTTACGTTCCACTGTTGTTCTTTCTGGCCAAAAGGTTTGCTTTAATGTGTCAAATTTGGTGCACATGGCAGATACGACTGTCTTGAAATTTGTGTACATGTGGTTACGTAATCGGTTGTGCTAAACAGGCTGTGAATTTCGTTGTTGTTTCTCACTCTCCATTACAAGTTGTTTGCATTTTTGATAAGTCCAAAGATGCATCGTATGCGTTTGTTTTTACAAAGTTTTAATAAGGCTACATCTCTTTTAGTTGTGCTGAAGTTTAAGAGCCATAGAAAACTTAGGATATTGGTGGAAGGGGTGCGGGTGGGGGGGGGGAGGGGGCACCTTTGTAAACAATTCCTGTCGTTAGAATCATTGAAAAAACAAAGACCGAAATGGTTCGACCAACTGGTGAGAATGAACATAGCAATACCGGCAACGAGAGTTTGCCACGCGAAAATGGAAACACCAAAAGGCAGAGAGAAATCTAGAAGAAGATGAAGTGAAGCCCCTGAGTGGGTTCCGGGGTCCCATTGTGGTGGTGGGGGAGAGACCCACTGTACCGTAACAAGCATGTCGTAAGAGTCGACTAATTAGGGATTTTTCTTTGAAGTCGGAGTGCATCTGCCTGAAAGGCGGAGAACCAACAGTCTACACACAAATAAGCTGGATGTTTAAAACGGACGTACACGCAAAACTCAACTTTTGGGACAAGACCACCAAAGTCCAGAAGTGGGTGAACAATCAGAAATTTTCCTCTGAATGCAAAGAAAAAAAAGACGATAAACTGAAGGAGTAGCTGACAGTCCAAGTCTAAGGCTTCATAACATACTTAGCAAACGAGCGCGTCCTAGCTCGGCTACATTTTTTCTTCTGTAAAACGGTGACTCCGATCAGCAGATAATGAATATTGGTCAACAGAAATACAAGTAATCACAAGTTAATTAATCGCTCACAATTCCAACTACGCAATAAATGGGTTACCTTATAATTTTAGTATTAACTTCAGGTCAAAATGGACGTCAGGCGCGGTTACTGTTTCGCGTCGAGACAAATTTTTAACTTCTGCCGGACGGTGGACGTTGCATTTTTGATCTATTTGTAGACCGAAAGGATGCAGTTTCGTCGCGTCAGCTACTGAGTTGAGTGCATGGCGCGACCGTGACCTTCGGTAGTACTTTCAAAGACGTCGGCGCGACCCTGTGAGCTGCGGATTTCATTTGGAATGTTTTTCGACTGTGACCAACGTGGTGTTGTGAACTGTTGATTCAGAAAATGGCGCGTGGCCTGTCGCTGCAATGTTGGTTGTACCCTTATGTGATTAATATTGATCGCGTGCGCAACTGCTGATCTGTTAGCGACTTCTGCTGCCGTCAATGATGAACTGCATTTCTAATGTCAGATTGTTTGTGTTAGCACTTCTGATGGCTACCGTATGCTTTTAATGCGTGTGTATGCTAGTGCATATGCTGAGACAGCAGTCTGTCAATCTTTCCACAAGGGACTGCGACGAACATTCTGTGTGTTTTTCGTTGGCACAGGAGCGGAGCAACTACGGGGTGACTCGTTTATTATAAGCTAAAACTAAGCGCGTGAAAAAAGCTAATAAAAGTAGATCTTTATATACAACAGTAAAAAAGAGACAAACACTTTTCTTTGGCCACATAATGAAAAGAGAGACATTGGAAAACATGGTGACAGCTGGAAAGATCAGGGGGAAAAGGGATAGAGGCAGACAAAGAGATATGTTGCTTGATGGGCTGAAACGATGGCATGGAGGGAAATCATCAAGAGAGCTGTTCCAGGCAACCAGAGATCGTGATCCGTGGAAACGCTTGAGCGCCTCGCCACTTGGCAGGGCACATGATGATGATGAAAAAAGTGACCCAGACAAAACGAATATCTTATTAAACAGCAGTTTGTCTCTTTCAACTAAGAACAGAAAGGGATGTCTAAACCACGGCTCATTGGAGCAATTCTCCAGTTGGTCGTAGCCCGCACCAGCGGTCTCCAACCTTCTTCAGGTGGCGCTGTTGAGTATATGGCTCGTGTGACCCGCTCTCCTAGAACTGCTACTACTATCTGTTTGTGCTCGTCATACTCGTCTCTGCTGTGCTGTATTGTTTAACATTACTGTGTTTTATTTTTAATTTTATATCACACACACACACATTTTTGTTTATTATTTCATTCTCTTTTAATTTTTTTTTTCTTTGACTTTATCGCTCGCGGTTTCCCCTATCCACCCGTTTCCCTTGTTACTACCGCGTTCAGTCGGGACAGGTCGGACTCTCTGGACCCTTCGTCCATCACTCCTCTATTTACAGTTTCATCTACAACTCTCGATTTACAGCCCTTGGCATTCTCGGGCTTTTAGGTCTTCAACCACATGTGTCTCTTCATTCCACTAAAAGACACCAGCGTGGCTGCTTCGCGATACGACAGTTAAGGGATATTGTGTGTTCGTGTGGTTTTGTTTGATTTATGTATGTGCCCATGAAAGCTCTGTAGCAGCAACGCTCACTTTTTGTCTGT